AGATCAGAAACTAAATTTTCATCTCTTGCAGTTTTAGGTTCAGAAAATTTAAATGACTAGTCATGTTTGCAGCAAAGGCCGATTTCTATACCCTTGTGGCTTGCCTTTACTTTCAAGGAAGTCACCTATTTCCTTTCTTAACTTAAATACTCTGCTCAGAAAAATTTCTCGCAAATTAGCCATCTTACTGCTGTGAAATATGGTAAATCTTGCGATTCTGTGTTTCTATGTTTTAACATGTCTCTGAACTATCTATATTCTCTCAGGTAACAGTGCCATACATTCTATGTAGGGCGGCAGCTCTTGTGTTATGTTTATGCCTTCATCTACACCTCTAATGAACATAAGCAGTTGAGATGTGGAACAGCTGTCCAGCAACTGATCCATTACAATTTTAAAATTGCGAAACTGGCTTGCATTTTTCACTATTTGAATCACCAATGTCTGCAACTCTGCGGATAATAGTATTTGCACCCAAAGCTACATTTTCAAATTGTTTTGAATTTTCCGTGGACAAAAAGATCGCGTGGACAAGTAGGATGAGAGGACCTCGCGGGCCGCATCTAGCCCACGGGCCGTAGTTTGGAGACACCTGATTTAGACGAAGCGCTCTTTCGTCTATTCCTTTGTAATCATAGATCCGCTGTTTGCCACATACATACAGAATTCAACTTTATATATTAGAAACATACTAGCCGTCCCGGCCAGGCCCAGCATTGGCCTCTGTGAAAACATATCTGTAAGGGCCGTGACTTGTGTGTTTATTTAGCAGATTGTACCCGGCATTGCCCCGGTTTATGAAATATTTTACTTTTCCTATTAAATTTCTATATGCAAATATGGACGTTTGAGAAAATAACACAAAACCCTAAACCTAAGTCTAAACTTAACCCTAACCAGAATCAACCAAAACCAATACATAAACGCAAACACAAATATAAACGCAAACGTAATGCAAACGAAAAAAAGCAAACACAAACACAATGTAAACACAAACAAAACGCATAAACATGAACATGAACGTGAACGTGAACGTAACCGTAACCGTAACAGTAACCATAAACACAAACACAAACACAAACACAAACACAAACACAAACACAAACATAAACACAAACACAAACATAAACATAAACATAAACATGAACATAAACATAAACATAAACATAAACATAAACATAAACATAAACATAAACATAAACATAAACATAAACATAATCATAAACATAATCATAAACATAATCATAAACATAAACATAAACATAAACATAAACATAAACATAAACATAAACATAAACGTAAACGTAAACGTAAGAACGTAAACGTAAACGTAAACGTAAACGTAAACGTAAACGTAAACGTAAACTTAAACTTAAACTTAAACTTAAACTTAAACTTAAACTTAAACTTAAACTTAAACTTAAACTTAAACTTAAACTTAAACTTAAACTTAAACTTAAACTTAAACTTAAACTTAAACTTAAACTTAAACTTAAACTTAAACTTAAACTTAAACTTAAACTTAAACTTAAACTTAAACTTAAACTTAAACTTAAACTTAAACTTAAACTTAAACTTAAACTTAAACTTAAACTTAAACTTAAACTTAAACTTAAACTTAAACTTAAACTTAAACTTAAACTTAAACTTAAACATAAACATAAACATAAAAGAAAACAAACAAACAGAAGTTGCGAACTAAATAAAAGCTTTTAAAAATGAAACGCGGACTGTTTTATTTAACCGCCTGAGTAGATCTACACAAACCAGGAGTTATTACTTTGAATTCTTTCAAGTAAACCTATCGTATAAACCTACCTGGTTCATTCTGAGGGTCATATGACAACCTATCAAGTAAACCCTTCTAAAATCACCTCATTCGTTAGTCATCTGACTTTACCCATCCTGTTGCAGTCGATCAAGAGATGCCCAACGAGTACTCATTACAATTTCAGTCGACTCGCCCCGAGCTAGGAACTATTCGACACCTGTGTACGTCTCCCCCTCACATTTTTCAAATGGATCCCGTCACGACCGACATCTACTGCACACCTAAGATCAGATACGTCAACAAATTGACGCTGACGTGGAAAGGGAGACAAACACTTTGTTCAATCCACATCAGTGGGGGTAAGGTTAAAGACTTCAACATAATAACACCCTTCTGCAAAGGATATCTATCTATCGATATATATATATATATATATAAAGCAAAGTGCTCGGGTGCCCGACAGGGCACTTCCCGGCACCGCAGGCGCTTCAAATTTAGCAGAATCAGGCCTTGTGGCGATAGAACACGGGAGCCGGTGCCGGTTGGCCGAAAAATCAACGATGTAGGGGTCAAAACTGACCTCGACTGATCATATTGGCTATGTTACTAAAATCAACTTCAGCCAAACGATCCTCCTAGATATTTTGCGAGGTGTTAGAAGAACGTCTAGGGGTGTCATAAAAAACTCGGCATATCTGGGAAAACTTCGTAAAGTAGTCAAAACTGACCAGTACTATTTCCCTATATAATCTTTGTATTTTATGGGGAAAGCAGAGGGTAATTTCTACACAGATTTTAAGGCATTTACCGCCTCTACATCATGCTAATGTTTTGCATGGTGAGGGGTGGAAGCAGGCGTTGTGACTGAAATAGCAATGTAAACAGAAAGTGTTATTTCAACGCCAAGGGTAGACAAAGGTACAGAATATAGTCCAAGTTAAGACAGAACAGACAGACCCGACGGGTTCCGAACCTACCACTCCTCACGGCACCGAATCGCCTCGCCTTCCATGCATCAAGTCAGACGTGTAACCGATTCTGCCAATCAGCTCTACAAAAATAAAGCTTTCATGGCAGAGCACAATCACAACCTATGCACGAAAGACGCGGGCTGGCGTGACCTTTGAACCGCGAATGGGACTGACCGTTAGCCTCAAACACAACAAGGACCATTATTCGACCAAACAGGCGACACAAGTATAGGGACGACGATACAGACAAATAGTAGCTTCCTTAAATGAAATAACACTTTCTGTTTACATTGCTAATGTTTTGCATGCACCTTTGTAAATGGCTAAGCCATAAGGTAAAAATACCCCTTAGGGTCGTCACGTTTGTCCAGATGCCGTATTTTCTGATATATATATATATATATATATATATATATATATATATATATATATATATATATATATATATATATATATATACAATTGTTTATGGGGGGAAAAACAAAGACTTAGTCATTCGGTTTATGAACAAGGGAGGTAACTACTTATAGTAATAATTTTAAAATTATTTTTATACTATTTTCAACACACACCGAAAACCACAAAGTGTATCATTCGTTTAAATAAGAATTTCGTTATAAATTAAGAAATGTATTGTAAATAAATTGTAAAATTTAATTGCAAAAGTTAATTTAATATAAAATTTTAGTTATACTTTTAAGAAAACCTTTACTTTTCTAATCACTTTGCAAGTTATAGGTTTTGGGGATGTTCCACGTGTTTTTCTATCATAAAATTACTGTTTTAACTTAAGCACTCCACATAACAGTATCAACAGCAATCACCATTTAATTAATCACTCAAATTATCATTTTTTTTAAACTTTAGCGAAGCTACGCAGTATGCCTAATGCTGGATAGAATTGACATGACATTTTGTTTAAGGCAGAAATGTCGCCTTGAAAATAGCAACAACTTTGACAAATTTTGGCGATATGGACAATTCGACGTTCACGGTGGATGGCAATACGACAACTTGTTTACAGACCAATCAAGCTTTAGAGAGACAAAAACTGAGTTTAATGTTTGAATCTCCGCAACACATTCACGAGATAGTGATCCGCTCTCCGGCAGGTAAATTTTGAAAACTGAAAATAGCTATAAATACCGTGCTAGTTAGACAAGCTACACAATGTGACAAATTATCTATTACACTGTGGAGGTGCAAAAGTGGGGTAAGTGTAGCACTGTGGGGGATGGTACAATAGTGGGGTAAGTGTAGCACTGTAGTGGTGCACTAGTGGGGTAAGTGTAGCACTGTGGGGGATGGTGCACTAGTGGGGTAAGAGTAGCACTGTGGGGGATGGTGCACTAGTGGGGTAAGTGTAGCACTGTAGTGGTGCACTAGTGGGGTAAGTGTAGCACTGTGGGGGATGGTGCACTAGTGGGGTAAGTGTAGCACTGTGGGGGATGGTGCACTAGTGGGGTAAGTGTAGCACTGTGGGGGATGGTGCACTAGTGGGGTAAGTGTAGCACTGTAGTGGTGCACTAGTGGGGTAAGTGTAGCAGTGTGGGGGATGGTGCACTAGTGGGGTAAGTGTAGCACTGTAGTGGTGCACTAGTGGGGTAAGTATAGCACTGGGGGATGGTGCACTAGTGGGGTAAGTGTAGCACTGTAGTGGTGCACTAGTGGGGTAAGTATAGCACTGGGGGGATGGTGCACTAGTTGGGTAAGTGTAGCACTGTGGGGGATGGTGCACTAGTGGGGTAAGTGTAGCACTGTAGTGGTGCACTAGTGGGGTAAGTATAGCACTGGGGGGTATGGTGCACTAGTGGGGTAAGTGTAGCACTGTAGTGGTGCACTAGTGGGGTAAGTATAGCACTGGGGGGGATGGTGCACTAGTGGGGTAAGTGCAGCAATGTGGAAGATGGTGCACTAGTGGGGTAAGTGCAGCACTGTAGTGGTGCACTAGTGGGGTAAGTATAGCACTGGGGGGTATGGTGCACTAGTGGGGTAAGTGTAGCACTGTAGTGGTGCACTAGTGGGGTAAGTATAGCACTGGGGGGATGGTGCACTAGTGGGGTAAGTGCAGCAATGTGGACGATGGTGCACTAGTGGGGTAAGTGCAGCAATGTGGAAGATGGTGCACTAGTGGGGTAAGTGCAGCACTGTAGTGGTGCTCTAGTGGGGTAAGTATAGCACTGGGGGGTATGGTGCACTAGTGGGGTAAGTGTAGCACTGTAGTGGTGCACTAGTGGGGTAAGTATAGCACTGGGGGGGGGATGTTGCACTAGTGGGGTAAGTGTAGCACTGTAGTGGTGCACTAGTGGGGTAAGTGTAGCAGTGTGGGGGATGGTGCACTAGTGGGGTAAGTGCAGCAATGTGGAAGATGGTGCAATATTTGGAAATTATGAATACTCATAGTCTCTGGGATTGCGCAGTGCGTCATAATGAAAGTCTACTAAAGTCACTTAAAGTCAACTAAAGTCACTTAAAGTCAACTAAAGTCACTTAAAGTCAACTAAAGTCACTTAAAGTCAACTAAAGTCACTTAAAGTCAACTAAAGTCACTTAAAGTCAACTAAAGTCACTTAAAGTCAACTAAAGTCACTTAAAGTCAACTAAAGTCACTTAAAGTCTACTAAAGTCACCTTTAATGTAATTTTATTCTTGTGACGTCGATATTGCACTTAAGGGGATATGCACAGAAAAAAATCACTAAATTTCTTGTTTTTCGTCATGATGGGTTTCTTGCAATTTTGGATACTTTGTCCATTTTTGTATAAAGAAAATAATAACTTTAAAGAGAAAAAAATGTTCTATGTGTTTGAATTACGATTTTTATGACCCTATTAATTAAAAAATAATCAATTTTTCCCAATCTTACAAGATCTCTATGAAAAGTTTTATATCCATCATTATATTGTATTTGACATCATTGGAAAGCTGGATTTCTCATGAATCTAATAAACTTAATTTCCTACATATCAGAAACACCCAAAGCTTACAATCGGCTTTTCAGTTTACACAGATATGGTACTTTCCTGACCTAGTTTTCGTTACTTTTGGCTGTTTTTCTCAGTTCGCATGTTTTTAACACTAAAAAGCCTACTACTTTTTTATTTATTAAACAATGCCAACCATATTTTCAGTAATTGTTCTTGATGCAAAAATACAACTTTTGTCACGAGGGAATTGTGATTGCTTTCATAGAAAAAAAGTATTTGGTAATTAATATGCAAATTTTGAAACTTTTGAATACTAAAAAGGTACGATTTTTTAGACCTTGTAAAATTCTTACTAGTAATTATTTCAAAAAGTTGTCGTGACAAAAGTTTTAATATATACTGAAATATAAGCAGTTTAAATTTGATTGCTATAGGTGCATAAATAAAAAAGCCTTAGTATTTATAAAAGTACCGAAAAATTCAAAATGGCGGAGGTTTTTTGGGTATCCATGACAACCAAAATTGTTTTCGACCCTTTTTTTTGCTGTTTAATAATTACTTTTATATGCCAAATATGATAAAAGTATTCAAAAGGCTTTAGATCTTAAATTGTAAAAAATAGAAAAAAACATAGCATATCCCCTTAAGCAATTTGAATGTTGTCTATGTAATATCCATTCGATAGAATTTCAGTTCGACATTTTGGAAGGTTTTAAGCTTGAGTATTTCGGAGAGTCAGGCCAAATTCTTCACAGTTTTCGTCATATGGACAACAGCACCCGGGGTGTTATAATTCTCAAGTCAGTCCACAACTTTCCAATATTGCGTATTGAGATCTCGTTGGTCAACAAGCAACACTCACTACACATTTGTGAAATCGAGGCCTACGGAGGTAAGTCTGTGGTGATACCTGTGTTTTTTTCTAGTTTTAACACATGTCAAGTGGTGACACATGTTTAGTGGTGACAAATGTTTAGTGGTGACAAATGTTTAGTGGTGGCACATGTCAAGTGGTGACAAATGTTTAGTGGTGGCACATGTCTAATGGTGACATGTCTAATGGTGAGATGTATTGAAAGGTGAGGTTGTCGAGTGGTGAGATATATCGAGTGGTGAAGTTGAACAAATAGAATGTCCTTATTCTATTACTAACTGTTTTAACTATTCCAATGTATTTATGTCGACCTTATCTCAACTGTCCAAAAGCTCGCTTGCTTAAAACACGCATACACAAACATGTAGTGTGATACAACATAATTTAGTGAAGTGACGTGTTAAGTTAGTTAGACAACTTAAGTTAGGTGACGTGTTGAGGTAGTTAGACAACTTAAGTTAGGTGACGTGTTGAGGTAGTTAGACCACTTAAGTTAGGTGACGTGTTGAGGTAGTTAGACCACTTACGTTAGGTGACGTGTTGGGTAGTTAGACAACTTAAATTAGGTGACGTGTTGAGGTAGTTAGACCACTTAAGTTAGGTGACGTGTTGAGGTAGTTAGACCACTTAAGTTAGGTGACGTGTTGAGGTAGTTAGACAATTTAAGTTAGGTGACGTGTTGGTTAGTTAGACCACTTAAGTTAGGTGACGTGTTGAGGTAGTTAGACCACTTACGTTTGGTGACGTGTTGAGATAGTTAGACCACTTAAGTTAGGTGACGTGTTGAGGTAGTTAGACCACTTACGTTAGGTGACGTGTTGGGTAGTTAGACAACTTAAATTAGGTGACGTGTTGAGGTAGTTAGACCACTTAAGTTAGGTGACGTGTTGAGGTAGTTAGACAATTTAAGTTAGGTGACGTGTTGGTTAGTTAGACCACTTAAGTTAGGTGACGTGTTGAGGTAGTTAGACCACTTAAGTTTGGTGACGTGTTGAGATAGTTTGACCACTTAAGTTAGGTGACGTGTTGAGGTAGTTAGACCACTTACGTTAGGTGACGTGTTGGGTAGTTAGACAACTTAAGTTAGGTGACGTGTTGAGGTAATTAGACCACTTAAGTTTGGTGACGTGTTGAGGTAGTTAGACCACTTAAGTTGGGTGACGTGTTGAGGTAGTTAGACCACTTAAGTTAGGTGACGTGTTGAGGTAGTTAGACAATTTAAGTTAGGTGACGTGTTGGTTAGTTAGACCACTTAAGTTAGGTGACGTGTTGAGGTAGTTAGATCACTTAAGTTAGGTGACGTGTTGAGGTAGTTAGACCATTTAAGTTACGCTACTTTACGCTTTAACAAAGGAGTTTAGTTTGATAGAGCTTGAAATGCACTCATTATTTTAAATAAATTTAGCGTTTAAGACATCGGTTCTAAAGAGCTCATTGTTAGAGATAAAAATGACTTGTTTAGATTTAGTGTTACATTTTTGGTTTAAACACCAAAACCCGAACCCTCTTGTAAACCACTAGAATTATAACTGTGTTTATCTAAACCATACCCCTAGACTAGTAGAATTAAGAATGTGTTAATGTAAACCTTACTTAAACTATGAGTTATATAAAATTCACCTAAACTAGTTGCTACCCTAACCTCTTCTAAAACTCACCTAAACAATTACTCACCTCAACAATTATAAACTCACCTAAACAAGTAAAATTCTAAATTATTTCACGAAAAACCTCACCTAGGGTATGAGCTTTAGCTAGACCAATCCCTACACACCTAACTTCTACTTCAACCTCACTTCTGTCAACATTAACTTAACCTTGCCATCACTTAAGCTAATCCAAGCCTTTGACCTTACGTTTAAATTTAACATTATCCCATGGCCACAGACTGTTCCTCCCCTGTATATGGCCAAGCCTGACATTTAACTTAAGTTTATATTTAACATTATCCCATGACCACAGACTGTTCCTCCCCTGTATATGGCCAAGCCTGACATTTAACTTAAGTTTATATTTAACATTCTCCACCGGCCACAGACTGTTCCTCCCCTGTATATGGCCAAGCCTGACATTTAACTTAAGTTTATATTTAACATTATCCCATGACCACAGACTGTTCCTCCCCTGTATATGGCCAAGCCTGACATTTAACTTAAGTTTATATTTAACATTATCCCATGACCACAGACTGTTCCTCCCCTGTATATGGCCAAGCCTGACATTTAACTTAAGTTTATATTTAACATTCTCCACCGGCCACAGACTGTTCCTCCCCTGTATATGGCCAAGCCTGACATTTAACTTAAGTTTATATTTAACATTATCCCATGACCACAGACTGTTCCTCCCCTGTATATGGCCAAGCCTGACATTTAACTTAAGTTTATATTTAACATTCTCCACCGGCCACAGACTGTTCCTCCCTTGTATATGGCCAAGCCTGACATTTAACTTAAGTTTATATTTAACATTCTCCACCGGCCACAGACTGTTCCTCCCCTGTATATGGCCAAGCCTGACATTTAACTTAAGTTTATATTTAACATTCTCCACCGGCCACAGACTGTTCCTCCCCTGTATATGGCCTGTATTGTAACGAGATCTGTAGCATCAGTTGTGCTGACCAGATCTGTCTTTATAACGGGATGTGTTACGCTTGTGAAAGGGGCAGATCAGGACAATTTTGTTTAAAAGGTAACCGTTATATTTAACTTATAAGTAACAGTTATATTTAACTTATAAGTAACCGTTATATTTAACTTATAAGTAACAGTTATATTTAACTTATAAGTAACAGTTATATTTAACTTATAAGTAACAGTTATATTTAACTTATAAATAACCGTTATATTTAACTTATAAGTAACCATTTAACTTATAAGTAACCGTTATATTTAACTTATAAGTAACCGTTATATTTAACTTATAAGTAACAGTTATATTTAACTTATAAGTAACAGTTATATTTAACTTGTAAGTAACAGTTATATTTAACTTATAAGTAATAGTTATATTTAACTTATAAGTAACCGTTATATTTAACTTATAAGTAACCACTTAACTTATAAGTAACCGTTATATTTAACTTATAAGCAACCTTTATATTTAACTTATAAGTAACAGTTATATTTAACTTATAAGTAACCGTTATTTTTCACTTATAAGTAACAGTTATATTTAACTTATAACTAACAGTCATATTTAACACCGTTATATTTAACTTATAAGTAACCTTTATATTTAACTTATAAGTAACCGTTATATTTAACTTATAAGTAACAGTTATATTTAACTTATAAGTAACCGTTTTATTTAACTTATAAGTAACCGTTGTATTTAACTTATAAGTAAAAGTTAAATTTAACTTATAAGTAATATTTATATTTAACTTAGAAAGTAACCTTTATATTTAACTTATAAGTAACCGTTATATTTTACTTATAAGTAACAGTTATATTTAACTTAGAAAGTAATATTTATATTTAACTTATTTGCAATACTTCTTTCTGTAAAAATTAGAGGAAATACGAAACATGCTTATATCCTCTCACATATTCACACACACACACACACACACAGATATATATATATATATATATATATATATATATATATATATATATATATATATATATATATATATATATATATATATATATTATATATATATATATATATATATATATATATGGTGCCCTGTCAAAACGACCTGGGACAAATCGGCCCCGTCAAAACGGCCCCGTTAATATGACCCCGTCAAATCGACTCCCGACAAACCGACCCCGTCAAAATAGCCCCGTCAAAAGGGCCCCGACTTATTGGCTCCCGTCAAATGGGCTCCCGTCATATTGACTTGCGACATATAGGCTCCCGACAAATCGGCTCCCGACATTTAGGCTCCCGACAAATAGACTTCCGACATATTGGCTCCCGACATATAGGTTCAGGACATATTGGCTCCCGATAAATGGGCTCCCGACATATTGGCTCCCGACATAAGGGCTCACGATAAATGGGCTCCCGGCAAATGGGCTCACGACATATTGGCTACCGACAATTGGGCTCCCGACATATTGGCTCCCGACAAATGGGCTCCCGACAGTTGGGCTCCCGACAAAAGGACTCCCGCCATATTGGCTCCAGACAAAATGGCTCCCGACAATTGGAATCTAGACAAAAGAAATCCAGACATATTGGCTCCCGACTAAATGACTCCCGACTTATTGGCTCACTATAAAATGGCTCCGGTTAAATAACTCCCGACTTAAAACACTTCCCGACAAAGAAACCGTTTTCTCAGGAGTTATCACATTTTTATCTTTAAACAGTTCGCTTTCTATAAAGTTTCGAGTATTGTAACTTTATATGAACCTGATTTAAGTGCATGCTGAGCTGTTGTTTACGCCACACGACCCAAGCTCAGCTGTTTCTGTTTAAATTTAGCATGCATGTTACACATTTTGCGTTTGTTGTCTAGGTTTTTCACATGTTAATTTCAAAGTATGGATGTCCACATGGACCCCCTCCCTCCTTCCCAGTCCACGACAGTCGATGTTAATCGACACTCCACCCACCATGTTGACGTCATAAAAGGATGACGGCTAGTAAAAATGCTTTTGAAAAATTGATCCCTGGACTACAAAAACAACACACGAAGACAGAGGCGTAGCGACCCTTCCCAGCGCCCGGGGCGAACTTTCAATTTGGCGCCCCCCCCCCCCCCCCGCTTATATATATATATATACTAGCCGTCCCGGCCAGGCCCTGCTCTGGCTTCTGTGAAAAACCTTTCTGTTAAAGACCATTACCTGTGTGTTTAGTAATCATCATAAACCCGGCATTGCCCACCCAAACCACAACCAACCAAAACAACTAAACGCAAACATAACGCTAACACAATTACAAATACAAACGAAAACAAAAACCTAACAACAAACCCAACCACAACCACAAACACCAATATAAACACAAAGAAAAAACAAACAAAAAAGCAAACGAAAACAAAAACCTAACAACAAACCCTACCACAAACACCAATACCAACACAAAAAAACAACGAAAAAGCAAACGAAAACAAACCAAATCCAAACGCAAAACCAACCAAAAACACAAATACAAACCCAAACAAAAAAACACAAACAAAAACGAAAAAAGAAAGAACAAAAACGAACCAAATCAAAACGCAACCACTAACGCAAACCCACCTAAACACAAAGAAAACACTAACGCGAACATAAACGCCCGGGGCGGAATCACCTGTTTTAGCTTAATGAACGACTATAGTACCCCAACTTATTCACAGTCTTTTGCACTCACTTAAACGAACGCGCCTGTTTCAATTTAATGAACAATTTTAATACTCCAAGCTTATCCGTAAAATACCTACAACATTTGCACTTGATCAATCCCCGCTAATTATGTAATTATTTTTTTCCCCAACACCAAAACAAAGTAATAAAATTTTCCACTAATGCAATGGTTTTATAAAGGGAAGTAATTGTGTTTTCCTAATTTATCAAAGGGAAGTAAATGCTATAGGACTAAATAAAGACATAATTTGAATTTTTGTAAAAGATGATATTTTTTTAAAACTTGTGTTGAATGAACATGCCGACAAGTATTACTATAATTTGTAAAATGAAAATTATTTCCCAACACTTTCAATAGTAATTTTTTAACTCATAAATTTAGACAAATGCGCACGATAATTGTCTAACACTTAAATCCATCCAAGACCAACGACAAACATATGCGTTACATACAGAACTGAGCTTTATATATTAGATATATATATATATATATATATATATATATATATATATATATATATATATATATATACATGTGTGTGTGTGTATAATTATGTGTGTGTGATAGTGTGTTTATATATAAGCTTGTGTGTGGGTAAGAGTGCATTTGTGTGTGTAAGCGTGTGTGTAAGCGTGTATGCTACAGTCCGGACAAGGTTTAATAATTACATTGTATGATTTTCATTCCTTAAAACTTTACGACAATTTAATTCCCATTAAGATGCGTTTAATTGTTTTGCGAAAGATTAGTAATGTCAGTAAAAAAATAAGCCTGATCTGTGTTAGAGGGTAGTTTGTAGCTAACGCTAATATGTTTAGACCAGCCTTTTTTATGTTCTAGTTTTGGAACGATCTCTGTTGTGATATGGTACATAGTTGGATTCGAAGTTTGTTAGAGTAAGGACACACAAATGACATACAAGAAGAAGTTATCAGAAATATGTATTGTTCACATTGGAATACGACATGGGTATTTCGTTGATTGGTTGATGGTATGACAAAACAAGCTAGAGAAAACAAACTGGAATCCAACGGATGTTAACAGCTCGTAGTCTTGGATTTCGCAGATTTGCCCTGCCTTCTCGCACACAGAGTTTCTTCCAGGCATCTCTTCGGGGGGGCGGGGCGAAGCCCCCCGAAAAAATTGTACCGCCCCCCCCCCCCCCCTCGAACTTTATGAAATTTATATAATTTATATATAGAAAATATATACGTTTAACAGTGTCCGCCCCCCACCCCCCGAAGAAAGTCTACCGCCCCCCCCCCCTCGAAAATTTCAAGTGCCCCCCCCCCCCCGGAGAAAAAAGTCTGGAAGAAACACTGCTCGCACAACGTCAACAACAAATGCAGAACTAATTGTATTGATTGAAGAACCAGTAACAATCAATTTAATGATAACCCATGACGTTCTGATTATTATCAGCAGCAATAAAACGCGTTTTAACACTCTAAGAAAATGTAGAATTCAAATGCATTGTCAAAAAAATTCAATCAGGATCTATAACTAAATGTGGTCTCTTTTACTGTATTGCTTGGAGCTAGATTACAGACAGTGGAGAATGAAATAAGAGCATGGAAAAAAAGTGGTGGTTAGTGGCTTAGGGATTCGAGAATCCGTGATATTTAGTTCACTTTAATATAGTTCAGTGATCCAGGTAAGATGTAATGCAATCAATCAAAAGTATCTGATCTCTCACGTTGAAGTTGAGAGAATCGTAAGAATCTTACAAAGAACTAGTCGCGTCTTTTTTTAAAACAAAACTGGCTATTGAAATTGTACATTACGCGTTAATACACTTGGTTTCTTTACTAAGTGTTAAGAGAGTTATCTACTCACCAATCCAGTACAAATACTTGCGATTTTTGTTAGCGAAAAAAGCGCCCCCCACACACACTCATCACAACCATCTTGGACAAAGTTTGTGGAGCGGTTTTTAACGTAAATAACTTTTTTTTAAAAATGTTACACAATTATACAATGCACAGTACAATTCGTTTCTTTCTGAGAGCTAAAGGTTGTTTACTCAGAATCCTGTGTAATTTTGCTATTTTATTTAGCCTAAAAGCGCCCCCCTGCACCATCTTGATAAAAGTCACTAACGTATTTTACAGTTCAACAATCGTACAATACGTTTTAATACAATTGGTTTCTTTTAATAGTGGTAACGTTTATCGACTCAACAATCTAGTGTAAATTCTTCCGTTTTAAGTCTCGAAAAAGCGCCCCCCCCCCCCCCCATCTAGGAAAAGCTTCAAAGCGGTTTTGCCGGTCACTGTTTCTTAAGAGTATATGTTTTACATTAAAAAATCAAGGTAGAAAACAGTTAAATCAGTATGTAAAGGCGTGTTGCCATTACAACTCTTAACTTAGACAGTTTATAATTCAAAACTGCAGCATAAAATCAGCTTTAAAAAAATTTTCCCACCCCTTTTGGCGCCCCCATAGGGTCGGCGCCCGGGGCGGCCGCCCCCCCCCCCCCCTCGCTACGCTTCTGCTAGAAGATGTTAACAATCATACTAGCTAGTATTACAAGGCGTGGGGGGGGGAGGGGGTGGTCTGTACGGAAGTGTTGAATGTTGCCAGGAAGTAGTTCATAAACGATACATTTATCTACTCGATACTTGCAAGGCTAAAAAGAGGGGTGGGATGGAGGTCGGCTCGGGGAAAAAAATTGAAAGAGACAACAAAGCGTTTATTTACGTCAGCATCGCCCTTTGTAAAACTTACTCAGAGGAGATAATTCCAAGTATAGGCCATAAAAGTTTACTATTGTATTACTTGTAAAATCAAAAAAAAAATAAACGTATATAAAACTGAAGTTTCTAGTATTATATTATTTTTTATTATTTGTAGGATACAACATAATACAGGATACAAATTCAACCACTATCATAAACACGAGTTTGTAGGGGCAACGAGTCAAAGAAGTCATATTTTTTTAATAACCTGGAAGCATATTGACTGTAATTGTATCGTAGGGACCCTAACCCGGCATGTGTATAATGGGCTGCAGCATCCTACACCCCTAAGTAGAAATGTAACAGATGACCACTAAACTAAAAATTAATACAGTACAAGAAATACTTTTTCTTTAAAATTAAGAAATGGCGACCTAAAGCTAAGGACGCTTTATTATCTTAGGCGTATTTCTGTAGTCCATTGAGGAATGGTGGATGTTGACATGAGCCATTATCATTATGTCGGGAGCCGTATTGACGAGAGCCAAAATAACAAGCCTTTTTGTCAGGAACCATATTGACGGGAGCCTATTTGTCGCGAGCCTAAATAACGGGAGCCTATATGACGGGAGCCACATAGACGGGAGTCAATTTATCGAGAGTCTTAATGACCGGAGCCTTTTTGTCATGAGCCAATTTAACGGGCGCCAATTTGACGCAAGCCTAAATGACGGAAGCCCTTTTATTAGGAACTATATTGACGGGAGCCCTTTTGCTGGGAGCCTTTTTGTCTGGAGCCATTTTTGTCGTGAGCCTAATTGACTGGAGCCTAAATGACGGGAGCCTAAATGATATGAGCCAAATTGTCGGTTGTCGTAATGACGGGAGCCTATTTGTTAGAATCCTCATTGACGGGAGCCCTTTTGTCGCGAGCCTTATTGACGGTAGCCCTTTTGACTGGAGCCTAAATGACGGGATCCATTTGTCTATGAACCTTTTGACGGGGCCGATTTGACGGGGCTATTTTGACGGGGCCGTTTTGTCGGGGTTGTTTTGACGGGGCCGTTTTGTCACGGGCCGGTTTGACGCCGCACGATATATATATATATATATATATATATATATATATATATATATATATATATATATATATATATATATATATATATATATATATATATATATATATATATATACCATAATCAACCGAAAACAAAACATACACAAAACGCAAACATTACACAAAAGCAAACAACAATACAAACTCAAATGCAAACCCAACCACAAACACAAAGAAAACAAAAACGCAAACAAAAAACAAACTTTAACCCGGGGGTCGGTGCCGGTTGGCGGCAAAGTCTACGAAGAGAAGGTCAAAACTGACCTCGACTGACCGGGCTATATTACAAAAAAAAAACTTTTGCCGAACGACCCCCATTGATATTTTGTGAGTTGGTAGAATAACACCTAGGGGTGTCAGAAAAAGTTCGCCATATTATCTGGGAAAAATCTGCAAAGTGGTCAAAACTGAGCAGTCGTATTTCGTATTTCCCAAATAAAATTTTGTAATTTATGGGGAAAACAGAGGGTAATTTCAGCACAGATTTTGGCAAGCGCCTAAGTATATGGCTAGGCCGAATAGAAAAACTGTCGGTTTGACTCAAAGCCCTCTACGTATCAACAGTATATGCGCCATATGGCCCGTTGACCCAAATCATCCTGCTTTTCTTTCTGTATTTAAGTTTGCTCCCATACCATTTGTCTAATAAAGAACAATCTGCAAGGCAGCAGTTCACTGATTTTGAAGCTTTCTCTTCTAGATCATTCGCTGAAATCCAGCTAACATTGAAAAATCACACTTTGGTTCGAACTCTTATTTCAAAGATTAGCCAATTTGTCAGATAGTCTTTTGGCTATCTTTTAATTAAAAATTCGAACGGTTGGCTTAGAAAACGGGCTCATGACGTTTTAACATATGTTTTAGTAAACAAAGGCGACATATGATTTTTAGTCGTGGCGCTTTGACATGACCAACTTTTCATACAGGAAACAACAGCCAAGAGACTTGGGAGGCTGGAAAAAACGACTCGTACATCCCCACACCACCGCCCGACCACGGCAGGAAGACAGCCCGTCTTTTAAGTGGCACTGACCTGATTCTTTTTCTCATGTATTTTATTGTGCTCTCCGTCCTGCTCTCATTGGCTGCCATGTACATTTGTACGCGAGGCTCTAACTCAGAAGATGATCAGGGTAGGTTGGCTGAGGAGCTGATCAGGGTAGGTTGGCACAGGAGCTCAGAGTAGGTTGGCACAGGTGCTCAGGGTAGGTTGGCTGAGGAGCTGATCAGGGTAGGTTGGCTGAGGAGCTCAGGGTAGGTTGGCACAGGTGCTGAGGGTAGGTTGGCTGAGGAGCTGATCAAGGTAGGTTGGCTGAGGAGCTCAGGGTAGGTTGGCACAGGAGCTCAGGGTAGGTTGGCACAGCTGATCAGGGTAGGTTGGCTGAGGAGCTGATCAGGGTAGGTTGGCACAGGAGCTCAGGGTAGGTTGGCACAGGTGCTCAGGGTAGGTTGGCACAGGAGCTCAGGGCAGGTTGACACAGTTGCTCAGGGTAGGTTGGCTGAGGAGCTGATCAGGGTAGGTTGGCTGAGGAGCTGATCAGGGTAGGTTGGCACAGGAGCTCAGGGTAGGCTGGCACAGGTGCTATTGGTAGGTTGGCACAGGGCTCAGGGTAGGTTGGCACAGGTGCTCAGGGTAGGTTGGCTGAGGAGCTGATCAGGGTAGGTTGGCTGAGGAGCTGATCAGGGTAGGTTGGCTGAGGAGCTGATCAGGGTAGGTTGGCACAGGAGCTCAGGGTAGGTTGGCACAGGTGCTCAGGGTAGGTTGGCACAGGAGCTCAGGGTAGGTTGGCTGAGGAGCTGATCAGGGTAGGTTGACACAGGTTCTCAGGGTAGGTTGTCTGAGGAGCTGATCAGGGTAGGTTGGCTGAGGAGCTGATCAGGGTAGGTTGGCACAGGTGCTAAGGGTAGGTTGGCACAGGAGCTGATCAGGGTAGGTTGGCACAGGTGCTCAGGGTAGGTTGGCTGAGGAGCTGATCAGGGTAGGTTGGCTGAGGAGCTGATCAGGGTAGGTTGGCACAGGTGCTCAGGGTAGGTTGGCACAGGTGATCAGGGTAGGTTGGCTGAGGAGCTGATCAGGGTAGGTTGGCACAGGAGCTGATCAGGGTAGGTTGGCACAGGAGCTGATCAGGGTAGGTTGGCTGAGGAGCTGATCAGGGTAGGTTGGCTGAGGAGTTGATCAGGGTAGGTTGGCTGAGGAGCTGATCAGGGTAGGTTGGCACAGGTGCTCAGGGTAGGTTGGCTGAGGAGTTGATCAGGGTAGGTTGGCACAGGTGCTCAGGGTAGGTTGGCACAGGTGATCAGGGTAGGTTGGCTGAGGAGCTGATCAGGGTAGGTTGGCACAGGAGCTGATCAGGGTAGGTTGGCACAGGAGCTGATCAGGGTAGGTTGGCTGAGGAGCTGATCAGGGTAGGTTGGCTGAGGAACTGATCAGAGTAGGTTGGCACAGGGCTCAGGGTAGGTTGGCTGAGGAGCTGATCAGAGTAGGTTGGCTGAGGAGCTGATCAGAGTAGGTTGGCTGAGGAGCTGATCAGAGTAGGTTGGTTGAGGAGCTGATCATGGTAGGTTGGCTGTTGGACAGGGGCTGACTAGCTGACATTGTCACGTCATTAGCTCAGTCTAGGTCAAATAAATCTACGAACGAAGAGACTATTAACTCAAATTAATGATTATAACCAATTAGTTAATATAAATAATGACTAAAAACTATATTAGGCATCGTAGATGTAATATAAGTGACTGTCGGTGTAGATAGTATTATTCGTAGGTAAACATTAGCATCATTATCAGCATTACATTTCCCGCATTTCATAATTTACTATTGGTAACATGAATAATATATGTGAGAGTGTTTGTGATCGTGTGTGTGTGTGGGGTGGTTGTACGCAAGGCGTGGTGGTGTATTCTGATCTATGTAATATTTAACTTGCAGATATAAATGACGGGGCAGACATAAGCTACGGTCCCACTGATCTATGTAATATTTAACTTGCAGATATAAATGACGGGGCAGACATAAGCTACGGTCCCACTGATCTATGTAATATTTAACTTGCAGATATAAATGACGGGGCAGACATAAGCTACGGTCCCACTGATCTATGTAATATTTAACTTGCAGATATAAATGACGGGGCAGACATAAGCTACGGTCCCACTGATCTATGTAATATTTAACTTGCAGATATAAATGACGGGGCAGACATAAGCTACGGTCCCACTGATCTATGTAATATTTAACTTGCAGATATAAATGACGGGGCAGACATAAGCTACGGTCCCACTGATCTATGTAATATTTAACTTGCAGATATAAATGACGGGGCAGACATAAGCTACGGTCCCAGTAAGTCATCTCTTCACAGTGCACCGTCTAAAAATACTTTGAAAGAACGGCCAAGTCAAAAGAATATTCTTCAAAGCTCCAAATCGTGGACATATTCTCACTCAGGCAAAGCTTCTGAGTATTTTAGCGTCAAGAGTTCGTCAAGTTCAAGTTCTAGTAGCTCTGGTATCGTACCCATCATAGTGAACGATTCCACTGTATTTAAAGTCAAGAAAAAGGTTCGTGGGTCTTTAGGTGACCCTGTAGATGCTGAAATAACAGCCCCAAAGCCAACAGAAACAGCCCCAAAGCCAACAGAAACAGCCACAAAGCCAACAGAAATAGCCACAAAGCCAACAGAAACAGCCCCAAAGCCAACAGAAACAACAGACCCAAAGCTAACAAAAACAGACCCAAAGTCAACAGAAACATTAGCCCCAAAGCCAACAGAAAGAACAGACCCAAAGCCAACAGAAACAACAGCCCCAAAGCCAACAGAAACAACAGCCCCAAAGCTAACAAAAACAGACCCAAAGTCAACAGAAACAACAGACCCAAAGTCAACAGAAACAACAGACCCAAAGTCAACTGAAACAACAGACCCAAAGCTAACAAAAACAGACCCAAAGTCAACAGAAACAACAGCCCCAAAGCCAACAGAAACAACAGACCCAAAGCCAACAGAAACAACAGACCCAAAGTCAACAGAAACAACAGACCCAAAGTCAACAGAAACACTAGCCCCAAAACCAACAGAAACACTAGCCCCAAAACCAACAGAAACACTAGCCCCAAAACCAACAGAAACAACAAACACAAAACCAACAGAAACAACAAACACAAAACCAACAGAAACAACAAACACAAAGCCAACAGAAACAACAGCTTAGAAGGAGCAAAAAAAACCTCGAGTGAATACACTCAATAGCAAAGAAGAACTCTGTGATATGACGCTCATCCCGCTATAGCTCTCTTGATATACTTAATCGAATTTGTTGCATGTTACGTTAACAGCTTTTATGCCTGATTTATAACGGTTACTTTTTTCTCTCGCTACTTGTTTCTGTTCTAATTCCAAATACATATTTAAAAAAACACATGGTGTTATCAATGTGTATATATGACCTTACGTCCATGGGTGTACATGTGTGTATCTAAGTAAGTGCCTGTGTTTATGTTTTATGTTTGAGGGTGGCGGTGCGTTCAATGGTGTAGATGTCCGCACGTGAAACGGTTGTAGGCGCCGTATTGATGTGTTTATTAGAATTCCTTCAGTCCAATTTCTGGATGGAAACATTTTTAAAAAATGACAATAACTGCTTAGGTTCTGGCTATCATCTAGAGCAGGGGTCTCCAAACTTTTCAGCCCGAGGGCCGCATTAACTATCAAATATAAGTGTAAGCCCTGCTAGGGGGGGATACCTACAATCTACCCTTCTAGGCTTAACTAATCTGTCCGGTCAGTGCAACCGTGGTAGAACCCACAGTGGTTAAACCCTAACCTTAGTCTAAATAATAAGCTACTAAAATAAAACAAAACTTTTACAGTTAATAAAATTTATTTATCAAGAATGACTAATATAAAATTTATTCAACAAAATATGGAACCAAAAGTTAAAAAAAGAATAGATAAAACTGACACAAAACAGGACCGAACGAAACAAACTTTTTACATCAAACAAAACATTACGTTTGACCATTTGCTGGTGTTGCGCCGACTTATGATGTCTAGGATGGTCCAGGCCCTGACACACAGAAACCTCCCTTCATCCATTCTCGACATCCAAAAGTCCACACCAAACAAAACACTAAGTAAAACCACTACGTACAATACATTACGTAGAACACAATACGTACACAACGAACTTTTTACACCAAACAAAACAATTCATATATAACAAAACACCCAGCCAAGTTGCACAAGCAACCTCACTCCACGCGTGCGGTGCGCCACGCAGAAACCTGACCCGACCTACATCTCGCCGCGGGTCAAAAAAAAAAAAAGGAAGAAAATCACTCCGAGCGGCCAATTTATACTGACCGCTTCGGACGGAAGGGGACTCCGTGCCGTTCCCCATTGGACCACCATGCACTCCCAGATTCGCAACAAATAAAATAAATACAAAATAAATAATCCATTCACCCGCTCACATAAGTTGGGGGGCCAGAGTTTCTTCCAGGCATCTCATTGCGGTGGCATTGTTCCGCAGCCACCTACAACAAACATTTTTTTCATTGACAAAAAGATCTCCAAGGGCCGGATGAGAGGACCTTGCGGACCGCATCAGGCCGGCGGGCCGTAGTTTGGAGACCCCTGATCTAGAGTGTTGGTGAAAATATTGGTAATCTATCGTTTTGGGTACGTAAAATCGCCCGCGACTTGTAATGTGAAAAACAGGTGACTCCTTACATTTTAATAATTATTTCACATTTTGAGGAGGATTTATATTTAGAAAAATCCAAAAATGTTTCCTTGTTTCATTTATGCACCCGTTTTTAAACAATTGAATTAAAACTTTTCAGTAATAAATGAAGACTAGCGATGTTTCCAACAGATGCAACCATGCTCATGTACTATAGCAGCCATCTTGTCTAAGTTTTTTTCTAAACTTAAAGCGCGAGATTCAGGGGGAAGAAACTCTACTTTACAAATGGCTGCTGTTTATATAGCAAAATATCTTACTCGCAAACACTGCTGTTTAAAGTTAATTTCTGGCCCATATTGATATATTTAACCATTGGTTTAGGTTTATTATTCATTTATCTATAATATTTGACACAAATATATCACAATATACTTCTATTAAAGCCTTGACAATGAGGTAACTTCTCCATCCATCCATCCGTCCATCCGTCCGTCCGTCCGTCCGTCCGTCCGTCCGTCCGTCCGTCCGTCCGTCCGTCCATCCATCCATCCATCCATCCATCCATCCACCCACCCACCCACACGCCCACCCACACGCCCACCCACCCACCCACCCACCCACCCACCCATCCACCCATCCATCCATCCATCCATCCATCCATCCATCCATCCATCCATCCATCCATCCATCCATCCATCCATCCATCCATCCATCCATCCATCCATCCATCCATCCATCCATCCATCCATCCATCCATCCATCCATCCATCCATCCATCCATCCATCCATCCATCCATCCATCCATCCATCCATCCATCCATCCATCCATCCATCCATCCATCCATCCATCCATCCATCCATCCATCCATCCATCCATCCATCCATCCATCCATCCATCCATCCATCCATCCATCCATCCATCCATCCATCCATCCATCCATCCATCCATCCATCCATCCATCCATCCATCCATCCATCCATCCATCCATCCATCCATCCATCCATCCATCCATCCATCCATCCATCCATCCATCCATCCATCCATCCATCCATCCATCCATCCATCCATCTATCTATCTATCTATCTATCTATCTATCTATCTATCTATCTATCTATCTATCTATCTATCTATCTATCTATCTATCTATCTATCTATCTATCTATCTATCTATCTATCTATCTATCTATCTATCTATCTATCTATCTATCTATCTATCTATCTATCTATCTATCTATCTATCTATCTATCTATCTATCTATCTATCTATCTATCTATCTATCTATCTATCTATCTATCTATCTATTAACTACATCAATTTTAAAAGATTAGAAAAACCACTAGACTCGACGAAACAGCGATGTCACATTTTTTTGTTTACTTTTTAGTACAATAAAATTGCGGCTTCCATCATAGGCCCATTCATAAGTTTAACGCTTTCTAAATCTAATTTTCTGTCGGCCAAAACTTTAACAATACGTCCGTTTGCTGTTTTTATTACGTTCCAACACTTATATAAATTTTCAACTGTCTTTTTTATTTAGTTTTACAATAAATTTCTCTAGCTCTACAATCCGTCCAAGAAAGTTATTAATAGATATAAAAATATAATGTGGCCAAGCAAGTTATTTATAGATCTAGATCTAGAATCTAGGTCAAACAAAAGATTAATTAGATACATACCAAAGATTAATTAGATAAAAATACAATCCATTTTATAATCATTTTAGTCCTTAAATACTTGATATAAATCTTTGTGATTTATCTATCTAGATCTATCTAGCTAGAATAGGTCTGATGATTAGATCTAGATTCTAGATCTAGAATTTCTAGATCTAGATCTAGATCTAGCAAGAGTTACGCAAATACTAGACTTAGTTAAGCAAACGAGTCGTAGAGTCTAGATCTATATCTAGATAGTTCTATCTAGATCTAGATAGTTTCAGACCTTCATTATTTTATATAAATCTTTGTTTGGCTAATTTAAGATAAAATTTAATTTGAAAGTTACTACTACTAGACTTAGATCTAGATCTATGCGCGTAAATCAAGTTGCTAACAAAAATGGCGTCCGGACCGGACGCATGACTTCCGACTATTTTTAGGCTATGTTTACCACGAGCAAAATGGCGGGTTTTCGAGTTATATAAACATGCTATAGGTGGCCAGGGCCAGTCATGCCAAAAAAAGCATTTTAAAATTTGCTTTGGAGAATGAAGGCTAAATTGTGAAGTCAGTGTCATTAAAATTAAATAATTTTTTTTTAAAGGTCACCTGTGACGTCAGTATAAGAAGGGATAGTGTGTTTTAAAGGATAAAAAAAGTCTTTTTGAATGTGGGGTCTGGTTATTTTGTGATGATTAGTGACAGACGTGATGTCATTTATGGATGACCCCCGAAACCCACAGTTAGCTAACTAGATAACGGGTAGTCTAGTATACTACTAAAACTCAAGTTTGTTTACATGTTTGAATATTTATTTGTTTGTTTGTCTGATTGACTATTGTAAATGGATCTACTCTTTGTGGAGAGCTGTAAAATAGTATGTAGGTAGAGAACAATTTTTGTTTTCAGAAAGACTGTTATTACACAAATTTATTTAAAGACGTTAATTAATTTATTGAGTTATTCATAGGTAGATTAACCACATTTATTTTAAAGTTTTAGAACAATAGCTTTCTTTGACTGAATAGTGACGTCACAAGTTTTGTTTACTTTTTAGTACAATAACATGGCGGCTTCTATCGAAGAAGATTGTGTTCCCATTCCAAAGTTTAACGCGTTCTAAAGCTAATTTTCTGTCGGCTATAATTTTAATAATACGTCCGTTTGCTGTATTTATTACGTTCCAACATTTAAAATCAATTTTCAGCTGTCTTTTTCACTTAGTTATACAATTAATATCTCTAGCTCTACAATCCGTCCAAGAAAGTTATTTATAGATCTAGATCTAGAATCTAGGTCAAATCAAAGATTTATTAGTTATAAATACAATAAAAAAACACTTAAGCAAACCAGTCGTAGATCTAGAATATAGATAATTCTATCTAGATTTAGATAATAATGAGTTTCTATATACTACAATATTTAAGACCTTTATTATTTTATATAAATCTTTGTTTGGAAATGCTCGATCCAGGGCCTATTTACGTAGATCTAGCAAGAGTTACGCAAAAACTACACTTAAGACTTAAGCAAACGAGTCGTACAATCTAGATCTAGATAATTCTATCTAGATCTAGATAATTTCAACCTTCATTATTTTATATAAATCTTTGTTTGGCTAATTTAAGATAAAATTTAATTTGAAAGTTACTACTACTAGACTTAGATCTAGATCTATGCGCGTAAATCAAGTTGCATAAGGAGACTCAAAGTATTAAAGTATAGTATAAAATACATCTGTGACGTCACGAGTTAAATAGCTAAGTTGTTAGTGTAATCGGCTTGCATGCGGGTGGCACGGGTTCTAGACCAATACGTCAATGATACTTCTTTTTTTTTTCAATTTTTATTTTATTTTTTAGATGTGAATGATAAAGTTGCCTATCTGAACTTGGCGTGATACAGGGCAGGTGAAGTAGAGTTAATCTGTTTCTTTTTCTTAAGCATATGAAGGGATAGTGTGGTCAGAGACATGCTCGACTGGAATCGTTTTTTTA